AAACGAAATGGATGTTTTTGCGTTTGCAAACAAGCAGAAAATTGAAAGACTATATATTCTAGGATGCGATGAAAACATCCATTTATATTTAGCGTACAAAAAATAAATTGAACAAAAAAAAAAAAAAACACCATCAGCAACAGCAACAGAAAAATTGGTAAAACCATAGCATTGCTTTTATAAATTTTGCATATTTAAATGTCTGTCGCTGAATTGCGATGATTGATTGCTACTCGCATTTCGAATGTAAACACCAATGGAAAAAATGATTCGTCGCTCAGATTGTTTGTCGAAAATGAATGAATGAAAAAAAAATTAAGAAGAAAAACGAGAAAGAAAATATGTGTGACAAAATGGGATGAATACTAAATGCTTGCGCCCATCAAGATGGTATCAACGAGACACTGAATCCCCAACAATTTGACATAAATTTCAACAATTTTTCTTCATCAGAAACACTACGAATAGATCAACATATTCAATGAACAATCGCTCAAAAAATCGTTTTTCGCTACATTGTTTTCCTGCATCATTTTCCTTTCCGCTTCGCACTCACTTTATATTTGTCTTTGTTTTGTGCAATTTTCTGAAAGAAAAAGAAAATGCTAGCGGTTGTTCAGATTTCTCCCGTGGGCTTCTCATACAACAAAAACTTTAATTACTTAACTTTTGATTTTGTCATCAAGCATCTCATAAAATCGACACACTTTGTATACTATATTTGTCTATGCTGAGGTTGGTAAAGTTCCATATCTTGTTCCAATTTTGGGTTACTATTGCTCATCTCCCGCCGTCGTTGCCGTTACATCCATTACTCCTGCACGCTTTCGTCACAATTTTTTGTTGGACATGAAGAAATTGCGAATAATTTGAAACTCAACTTTTCGCTACCAAAAGATATGAAATTCAATTAAACTTTAACCGAGATGTTCTCGTTTTGTTGAATGTTAAAGGCACATGAATTCAGCTTTCTCTCTCTCCTTTCCATGCGAAAAAAATTGACTGTTTATTATCGTTTGAATGTGCATGTGTTTTTCTTTCTATCTTCTGGGCTATTTTTTTGGGTTAGCCGATTGCTTTTTTCGTCTTTTTATCTACTACTATGAACATAAAACGAGACGAAAACATTTTAATAAAACGCGAAAATCGGACTGCAATGTCAAGAATTTAAATAACGAAACGTTTTTTTTCGGAGAAACCGAAAAAAATATTTGAATTAAATTCAAGTGAATTTTTATCGATGGAAAATCAAGTTGCGGTACACAGTGAAAAGTTTTCATCTCTTTCAATCCATTGCCAACTATTTGAAGCGATTTATTTCATTCACGCGTTTTACTTTGCGGTGCCTATTTTTTTGCACGATGTCACCACAGCAACCAAAAGCCTATTAATTTAAATGAAGTATTAATTTTAAAATATTCCATAAAGGTTTTTGTGCGAACGATTTAATTATTTGCATTGTGATTGTACCAAAATCGTCGAAGCATGCGAATATAAATTATGACTGGAGAAAAACAAAGTGAAACAGTTATGAAGGGAGAAACATCCATGAAAATGACCTCATAACTTATGTAGAAAGAGAGAGAGAGAGAGAGAGAGAGAGAGAGAATCAACAGCCAAAAACCCAAGTACATCAACCATTGTTATTGAGCCAATAATAATATTGAAGCCTATAGTGATTCGAGGTTGGGTACAGTAGTGGTTTATTTTAAAGCGGCAAATGTGTCATTATTTCAGCCGGTCGGCGAAGTATTCTATTCACTGACTCTTGTTTTTATTCAATTGGCATGTGATACGATCCACCTCATTTGTTTTACTGCTAACGAGTGTTGACAAAAAATCCCCATAAAAATATCAGCCTGGTCAAGAATGCTCTACACGAATACACACATCCACACCTAAGTACGAAAAGAGAAATAGAGTTTGATGCGGACCCCCTTTTTTTATTCGTGGTAAAATAATTAGTTTTTGTCGGTTTTGTTGAAATTAATGCAACTGTTTGGCCACATTAATTACCACATTCAATAAAACACATAAGTGAACAATGTTTGAATTGTTCATATGCATAAAAGTAATACGATGTATGGAATTCAGTCTAAAGAACTCGTTTGGAAAATCGAACGAAAAACAGTTCGACTATAAATGTAATCAGAAATAGTTTACTCTAAAATTGTATAGTTAAACGGCATTTTGTTCTCTTGCTATACATAGATTGTTGTCTATATTATTGTGCATCTCTCATACATTTGGCATGTGTATGTGTGCGAGTAAAATGTCTTGTCGCTGTGGGTCTGCCACCGATACAAAATGCACAGCACAATGACGGCTGAGCGCAGGAAGTTGAACTCGGGAAACGAGTATCGATATCGTACAGAGGTATAAATCACAAATGATAGTTTTTCGTTATACCGGAAAAATATGATAAAACACAGACGTGCCATCACTGCACAAAACATACATACCGAGAATGGGACACATAGACCACCACCAGTGCACCAGTCACTGCATTAATGATTTTTTTTTGTTTTGTTTCGTTTTATTTATTTTGATATTGTATTTTGTTGCTAGGGGCTTAGAATGGTCATTTTCATTTTGTTGCATTGGTAGTTTATCGCCGTTTATTGACACATTTGATTTGGCAAATATCCGCGAGTGCGATGAAAATAACACACAAATATTATATGCGGGGCTCTCGGTATAATCGGTCCAATACATGCAGCAATCAAATCGAATTCATTCACTTTTTTGCCATTTTATAGTATTCAGCCCCTAGACTTTGGTTTTGCACCACTCTTTTTTTCTTTCTCTCTCTCTCTATGTGTGTGTGTAAGAGAGTACTCGTTTCTTGTTTTGGTTGCGTTTGAACGTAAATTATATTCCCCATTTATCCTTGTGAAAATACAAACAATTACACAATAGCTGGTACATTCACAAAACAAGTAAACAACCAATGCTTATGAAGCATTGCGCAACTAGTATCAAGCGACAACACAATTAATGTGACTAGTTGAGGATATTGGCTGGCACACACACACCAACATTTTGTATAATGTTGTGTTTTGGCTGTTTTTGGTTGTTGGCACGAATTGACCAGAGAATCTCTCTGGCAGAAATGCATTGGAACGAAAAGAATGGGAACACTCGCAGGAAGCATGAGATAGAGATAGATTGATGAAAGTGATGCGGTTGGTAGCCAATGCATTGGGGTGGATGTGTAACTTTAGACTCAAACATGATCAACACCATCATCTGTAGCAGTAACAACAAAACAACGACCGGAAACAATCCTGATTAATGGCGTTTGCAACTTTGAACAATTTATCATTTTTTCATAAAAATTCACACGAAAAGAGCGGGAGAGAAGAAGAGAATGGACGGGAAAAAATGGAGAAGAATTTGAGCAAACAACAGTTAAATCGAAAACAAATACCGAGCAACCATCATCAGACTAGAATGTAACAAACAACTGGAAAATAATGTGCGTCCCATTCCAGTTTACACACAGTTTATGTGGGAACATTCATGGTTGCCAGTTGCTTCTGATTTGAGTCGATGAAAAAAAGGCGAAATACCAACGCAGATTTCTCTTTTATAGCATATCAGATTAAGTTTACTATTTACACGAAACAACTGGACTAACAAAGATTTGAACTTGCCAAATGCCCTTTTTGAATTCTCAAGTAATACCTGCAGTGATAAATGTCGATTTAACCTCTTTTAAGCAAAGCCATGAATGAATGAAAGAATGTGCTTGAGCGATTGTGTATATTTCGTTTTTAGAACGTTCGAATGTTTCATAATCCATCATTTACGTGTGATTGATATGACTTTGCTCTAATGGATTTCGTGTCTTTTTGCACACCTGTCCATGAGTTTTACGTACTTTTCACTCATTCTATTAATGGTCATATGGATTTTGTAAGCTTTTTAGATGAACAGACGTCCTTTTTTATTTCATTTCAAGTTGTCCAAACATCTCGCCAGCAACTCATTCAAAAACAAATATAAAAAGGAAACTCGATCCTTTTTCTTTATTTGTCTCTTTCATTCGTTTTTCCGAGCGCTCTCTCTCTCTCTCTAACGGAAACAAGACGAAACAGCACCAAGAACATGAAAAGTATATGGATGTAACTTATGGAAATACTTTTGCTAAAGTCAAACGATGACGACTCCGGTGTAGTTTTCCCTCCCATCCAAAAAAGAATGAAGAAAACAACCGAAAAATTTCCGCTTTAGATGTGTAGAAACGAGGAAAGTTTGTGTTAGCCAATTTTCTTGTCGACTCCGAATTCCCCAGAACTTTTCGCTTTTGTTTGAAATGTTTATTGCATTTGTCCTTTAAAATACAACTCAAACTACAATTTAAATAATATTTGGTAGAAACGATAAATGGAGCACATTCAAAAGTCATGCTACATACAATTTTACCGTGGTGTATAGTCTGTGTAGTGTGTTTCCGTAGCCCCCAATTTTATAATATGGTTTAGTATTGAAATTTTGCATGAAACGAATACTTTTCACTCATTCAGCCGAAACAAATTGCAAAACTTAGCTCGAGTTTTTGGCTGGCAAATAACTCAATGTTCAAGCAATTAAATGGAACTTTTAGCACTTAGTCAATGTGAATCGAATGAAATTTATTCCTTGAAATCGTTATTGATTTTCAATTTGCATAGTTTTTACCAATATACACTCAAATAAAATGGGCAAATAAACTGAGCGCCACGCGATACGGGAGGAGAGGGTGGATGATGAAAATGGGTTGAAATTCAATCTATGCATTGGTTAGAATGAGTGTGAATTGTTCATGAAAATTCTTTTGATGGCCTCAGTTCGCATCGCTTATTCCACTTTTGTGCCAAAATTTGCCAGAACAACAACAACAACAACAACCAATACAAAAATACGCATAGAAACGAAAATAAAAAATCAAAGAAATAATAAAAGTCCGAAATGAGATAAATTTATTTGATTCTATTTCCATTCTTGTTGCATTCCAGATTCAAGGCACAAACATATAAACAAAAAAAAAAATGAAGAACTTCCTGTTAATATCGATTTTGGCCATGACTGTAGTGTCATTCCTACCCCGAACCACATACGGTTCAACAACAACGGAGGTCGAGGAACAACCGCAAGCTTTGCCGCTTACAGCTGATAAAAAACCAGTTGGTGAGTTTTGGCAAGAAGACGAGCGTGAAGTATTAGTTCGTTTGGTACGTGGTGCGAAAAATAACAACGGCGCCAACAATGGATCTGGCTCTGGTAAGAAGGAGAAAAACAAAAGAGTTAATAATAGAAAAAAGTCCGATGAGAAAGTCGAGAAAAAAGCTCGTAAGTTTTATTTTTAATTTTTATTTTCATTTTGTGTTTATCATTTTTTTTTTTTTTTTTTTTTTGAACTTGTGTTTTGCATTATTTTTTTTTTACTTCATTCTCCGTATTCCCTGTTTGTTGCTCAAAATACCGACCTATTTTTCGTTTACTAACTTCTATAAAGCGGCCGTAGTTCATTTGTAAAAGTTTTCACTTAATGATTTCTATTCTGCATATTATTATTTCACTTTAGATCCCAGAAATAATCGCAATATAAGTATATTTGCTGATTTTTTCTCTTTGTTTTCGTTTCATTCTTCCTATTTTATCCGGTTGAGCTGAAAGTTTGTGTTGAATAATTGTATTTTTTGTATGTTTTCTCAATTCGTGGTAATGATTTCAATAAGAAAAAAAACTCAAAATTTATTATTGGACGCTTGGATCTTTTTTTTTATTAAATTTCTCACAAATTAATGCTTAACTAAAGCTAAGTTAAATAATACAAGCGCTTATCTGACAGACTAATCCGTTGATGAAAAAAAACACACACATACAACGAATAAACATAAATATGTTTAAACATTCAATTAAGGGTGTTTGTTAGCGAGTAAGGACGATGGCATTGCTTGGTTACGGTTAAAGGGAATCATCTTTTGCAAAATCATTCCTTTTGCCTTTACCTTCTAGCATTCTCGTTTCTTAGCTACAGTTTGAAACTCTCATCACATTTCTTTTTTTTTTCTTTTTCATTTTACTTTTTATACGTGTTTAGCATCCTGCCGATATGAAAAAAGCCAATGGACTGAATGTAATCCAGAAACCAATGTCAGAACACGAACCTTATCGCTGAAAAAGGGTGACGAAGGTTGTATACCAACAAGAACGATTCAAAAGAAATGCAAAAAAGGTAAATACATATTTTTTCTTTCTTTCGTCATATCACTCTCGTTTGGTCTCGTCTTTTCTGCTTTTCATCTTCTTATACATCGTTTGATTGAAGTTAAATTTCCACCGAGCCAACTGAATCTTCTGTGTTTATTTTTTCGTTCGCTATCTCCATCGTATAATGTATAGTATACAATGCGCCTACGTAAAATACATCATGATACATTGCAGAGAAAGAACCAAAACCAGACAACGTTATTTATCCACCCATATTTGTGAACTGACAGTTGTCTAGACCCAATGTGTGTTTTCTTTCATTTCAATGATGTGCTGATCATCATTTTTTTGCGTTTCAATAAGAATAGATACAGCTGACAGGGGTCATTGGATTTTTAAAAATAAACCATATATGTACAACAACGAAAATTTATCTCGCCAATTGTTATGCACAGTTTTTATCATATCTTATGAATTATGTATCAAATATGTGATTTTATAATGGTTTTTTTCGGCCGTCCTTTTTGTTCTGCCACCCATCGTTCGTAAATGGAAATGTTAAATTTAAAGGAAAAACTCGTGCAGAAAAAAAACACACAAAAACGAACATATCAAATAGCCTGGATATTTAATTTGATTCCACCTTAATGATAGTTCAACTCAACAAATCATTTTAAATAAATAACCGTTCTTTTTGTTGTAGCAAAGCGAAATTTCCAATTTTAACACGATTTCGTTTCAGTTGAATAGGCGCTTTTTTCCTGTGCAATCGCGGTTCAGCTTCAATCTAATTTAACATTTCATTACAATTCTATTAAATATTCCATATAATACAAATGTTCGTTTGTGATGATTTTTTTAAAAAATGTTATCTCTCTGTCGCCCTGTCTCGCTGTGCTCTGTTCTGTCTCTTTCGGTCATTTTATATTTTTGGTGCGTATTCAAATTATCGCATTTTTCGCTTACCTATTGTACCGAATAAGGTTCAGAAACACCATCGAATTATTTCCAAACAATGAACAAATAACAATGCTATGAATGCGAACAAAATTGTAATATAGGCCGTTGTATGAGTTGCACACGAAAAATAGAGACGAGAATCGGTTTCGCGCGCTCGACTATCGCACATCATTGGTGTGGAATTCATGTCAAATATCAATGTGTTGATATTATGTGAATTTCGTTGTACAATGCATGCATTGCTATTTTCTCTTTCCCATCGAATTAATTTGTTTTTTTTTTATCATTATTATTATTGTTCAAATAGCTTGCCGTTACGATAAGGGTGAATGGTCAAAATGTGTGAATGGATCCATGTCGCGAAAAGATAATGTTCGTTCTGGCAGCGATGCGTCTTGCAAACCAACTCGTGAAATCACCAAAAACTGCAACAAGGACAAAAAACAGAAAAAACAAGATAAAAGTAAATGCAATTATTATTTGTTAGCACATTGTGCAAATCGCCATTTTGTTTCATATTTTTATCACTGCTAATTCCCTGCCAACATTTTTTTTTTTCAAATAAATACATTTTCAGATGGACGAAAGGGCCATGCTTAAACGCAGCAACGCTTGCGGCAACAGCATTGATTGCACTTCACACACAGAATTCATCTCCGCGAGTGAAGATAAAAATCCACAAATAATATTCCGTAAAAAAAAACAAACAAACAAATAATAATCCGTTTCAGTTTTCAAGAAACATCAGCAATTTTACATAATAGGTATTGATTAAAACCGCGACAAAACTACATAAACACACACACACACAAACAAAATGAAACATCGATGAAAAGTTACATTTAGCAATTGTTTCTAAACAGACAATATATTTGGATTTTGTCATCTGGATATTTCAGCTCATCTGGATGACGTTAGGTGATGATACGAAATGAAAACAATAGAAGTGATTGTTATAGTAATTAAGTATTTTTATACATATACAATACAACAATCACTTCTATTGTTTTCACTCCGTATCATCGCTTAACGTTATCCAGATGAGCTGAAATATCCTGATGACAAAATCCAAATATATTGTCTGTTTCTAAATAAAGCTTCCGTAACACTACCCAAGTAAAATAAAATCCCGTTTCAAACTGAACAAAAAAATATACATGTATACTTTTTTTATGATTGTTCGTACACACTCTTTTTTTATCACACAGATTTCCAACATTGGAAGCATCTGTTGAACAAAAAAAAAAAAAATATTTTTTTTTGTGAATTCAGACACTGAATTACAATTTGATCGTATTAATAATAATGTTTGAGTTGTTTTTGTGAAATAAAATGAAGATAAAAAGAATCGTTGTAATACATGTTTTTTGGCATTTTTGTTGGCAACATTTCCCCAATAAATTGTCTGTAAATTGTTTTTAAACTGAATAAAAAAAATAAAATAAAAAAAGTACCGTGAAATCTTCAAACGAAAAAAAAGTAAAAAAATTAACATTTACTCATAGAAATGGCAACAGTAATAACAACCATGCACGTACAACTAGTTTCAATCACCACACACACATAACGCGAACATTTACAAAAATACCAACAAACAAAATTATCAAAACTATTCTTAATGCCAAACTAATTAATCAAACACATACACAATGATTAAACGAAAAGCCAATTCCATGTAGAGGAGTGAAATATTTGAAAATAACAAACCACATACATACACTGATAGAGAGAGAGCGAAATCCTTTCAGTTTTAATAAATGAATTATTCGATGCAATTATTTGAAGAGATGAAGGACAGAAACAACTACAACTACTTCATGATAAGAAAAATGGAGAAAATTTAAAGACAAATGCAAAAGGAAGAAAAGCATAAATGTTTGAAATGATGAGTAATCAATGGCTTTGCTGTTGATGGCATCATCGTGTCTCTCCTTTCATTCCTTTACAACTCTTTTTTTTAGTATAAACTAATGTAATGACGTTGGAGTTACAGAACAAATTAAAAAAAATCTACAATAATTAAAATGAAATGGCAAAAAATTAAGATTAAATATGTATGAATAAGCATACAATTTTATCCAATAGAATAGTTTAGATATTATGATTATATTACTATATTAAAAGGATAAATACATTGCATAATACACTTCTCCTGAAAAAAAAAAAAAACCAAACAAACGGAATTATTCAAACATTCAGAAAAGAAATAACCTCCTCCCGCTCTCCAACCTCAAGAAAACATATAATTATTTGGACACACTGTAATTTTGAGATTTCCAGAGAAATACAAAGAAAACAAGAACGCATGCAGTTGTGCAGAAATGTCAATCCAATGACATCATTGTCAAATATCATACAAAACTCATTCCATCTCGTATTGCTGTTCTGATATTTTCTCTCCTTCAATACACACACACATACACTCTCATATACAGATGAAAATAAACCTGATTAAACATATACACATGATTTCTTTATGCCTAATTGTAATTTTTGCCAAGGTTAATGATAGAATATTACTAGTAAGTCCCATCCTGAAAAAATGGTACTTGGTTTTGGTTTCTAATCCATCGACATAATCAACAAACACACAACATATTTTACAATTTAAAAAGAAAAACAAGTGATGAAGACGAAGAACGAATGGAAATGAAGAAAATGAATGCAATGCAATACCTTTTTAATTAAGCTAAAATATTCTCTAAATTCTGTTCGGAAAAGTTGTTGTGTAAAACGTGAATGTTTTCAATTTTAATAATTGTAATAAGGACAAATCCCAATAGCAATGGCAAATGTATTCCATAATCGGTCTTTTTTTTTTGTGTGAAAATCAACATCGAACAAAACGTATTCAGATAATTCAACCCAATGAACCGAACATTTGAAATACCACAAATAAATGAAATGATCCATTGATTTTTGAGAATGCATATAAAATCAAGATTTTGTTTTAACAATGATTTGAAGAAGGAAAAAACATTAGAACAGACAAAATTACAATACTTATAAAGCGAATAAATAAGTGAATATACGTTGTTATACACAGTAAGAAAATATCAGCCGACGCTATACGCAAAACCGACTGGTACGAGCGTTCATACGTTTTTACATCTTTTACATCTAGTGACCATACGATTTTTCGACTGTGCGAAGATAGCACAAAGAGTAACGAATCAGTCGAAAAATCATATGGTCACTAGATGTAAAAGATGTAAAAACGTATGAGCGCACGTACCAGTCGGTTTTACGTATAGCGTCGGCTGATATTTTCTTACTGTGTATATATTATAAAATAGGTCCATCCTAAAATATGAAAGCAACACGATTCGATTGGAATATGTGTGTGCGCGCAGAATTTCAACATAACTATTTTCATATATCTCTGAGACGAGCGATAGCCCTATATCGACTTTTAGAACACAAAAACTTATTAAACTTAAACAAAAAACAACTGATAGTCGTGAACAATGGAAGAAACAATAAATTATTTTATCGTAAACCGAATTTTCCTCAACAAATCTATATATATATATATTACAATAGTTCGAATAAATTCACATTGATTGATTACATGTCTCTCTATTTGCATTTACTGCAAATTATGCGGTGCATACAATTTACATAATTACATTTTAAACGAAAACATCATTAAAAATGCATAAATTGTAAAAAAAACAACAACAACAAATCAATCAACCGAGTTGATCAAATAGCGCCGAAAATCGAAACGAAAAGATAAAATATATGAAAATCGTACACATTCACAAAACCGATATTTTAAATAATAAAATATGTTGAAACACCTATTTCATTTTATATACATAGTATTTATTGGCAACATAGAGAACTGAAACCAACAAAAAAAAAGAAACACACACAATCACATTATTATTATTGCCAATAGAAATAGCTAAAATTAAAACCGTTTATTTTACCGGAAATCACACATTTAAAAAATGACAAAACAACAAAAACAATACAAACACGGACATATATTAACATATTCTTAAACCATAAGAAATCCTCCTTCACCTTCTAAAAAAACACGGCCAAAAAAATACAAAAAAATTCCTTCAATTTTTCATGTGTGTGTGTGAGAGAGACATCCATTTTGTCTTCAGTGTAAAACTTAACGTTCATTCTGTCTTAATTAATTACAAATTTAATAAAAACTTAAGAGGAAAAATCAAAATAAAATTGATAAAAACAACAAATTCTTTGGTGGCTTTTCATTATTTTTGTAGGAATAGAAGCTTTTTTTAATTCTTAAACTAATCAGTTTAAACAACAAAACATGTGACTTTTTTTGATGACATGTGATTGACAAATTCTTCTTAAAAAATTTAGAGACATTATTTTTCACTATGTTTTATCATTTCGTTGTGAATCCAATCAAGGTATAAATAAATGCGTGTGTACACATCTGGAAAGCCTTTGCCACACTGAAATTTAAATAGTAACATTTTGGTTAAATATTTTTTACATTTCGAGCAATGAAATGAAAAAAAAAAATAAGAACTTAACGGGTATGCCCCACGACACAATTCCAATCAATGTTTTGTTTTGAGGATTGGTTACGTCAGCCAATGGACCACCTTTTTATTCAAAATTTCATTGAAAGAATTTAATTCGTAATTAGTAATAATTTAATTAAAACGTTGATATATCATTTACCAGAATCACCATAGCAAACTCCGAAATTAATTGGACTTATTGTGCAAATATGTGTCTTGTGCACGTTTTCACGCATTGGATGCATTTTAAAGTGTTCGGTACAACTGTTATAGGTGAGTGTAGAAGGTTTTCCAAATTTTAAAATATCGGACATTTTTCGTTGATTTTTTCTTGATGGACTCTTTAAGAGAGTAACATGAAATTGATCACATTTTTGAGACATTGATTGTACTAATCCTAAAAATTATTCATAAATAATTAAAATACTTACAGAAGTGCTACCCCAGCCAGACACGATGACTTGCTCGTATCTAGGCAAATCATGTGTTGGCAATGCAATTGGTTGAATGAGATTTGTAAAGACGATTTCTTCGGCAGTTCGCAGCAATGCAATGTCATGCATACACTTTTTTCGATCGTATCCAGCATGATTGCTAATTGCTGACAATCTAACGACGATACCATCATCATGAAGTTTTAAAGCTCCGACAACAGCATAAATATACTGAGGTAGTTCGTACATTTCTTGTGTACAATGTGCAGCGGTCAAAATAAAACGATTGCTAACGATTGCTCCGCCGCATAAATGGACCTTTTCAAAATAACATCGAAGCGATACTTGATACGGAAATTGTCCTTGTTCTGCATCTTCACCACCAAGTATACGAGGATATTCGTCGATTTTTTGTCGATCCAATTCTATATCGGCCACAACACATGCACCACAAACTATCAAAATTATTAAGTTTATACACTTCATGGTCACTCACAGAATGGAATTCTAAATTATAAAAATATATGATTTGAAATGATAAAATAGTGGGGTGATAACGATTATCATTTGCACGAAAATTCATTATCATTTTTTTGGCACCGTTTCAACAATTTCTCATATAAATAACAAAAAATATTTCAAATTCGATTGAAGTACGTCCGAATGTCGGTGATAACGAATTAAACTTAAGAGAGTATTTACACGATGACGAACCACGTTTGAGTGTTAACCTTCAATTTGGTCAAACCTTATCGAAAAACAATTGAAGTTCATTTATTGAACTCATTATTTCCTCATATCTAAAAAAAACTACATATTCATTCTATTGACGTTTTTATTTCCCATAGCCAGAGTTTCTGAAGATTTACATGCTTTTTGTGTTGTGCTCGCGCCAAATTCAGTTACATCGAAAGTTTGGTTCTTTTTTAATTTTGATTGAGATTTTCCATTTCGCTTTGAATCCAATCGAGGTATGAATAGACACGAGTATAAACATCTGGCCATCCTTTTCCACACTGCAAAATAATCAAAGTTGAATGAAAACACTTACATTGACCATATTTCAGAAGAAAAAAAAAACTTCATTGCAGCTAATAGACCAATTGAGTAGCATACAAAATTTTATGAAATTTTCGCGAGAGTCAAGCGCAATAAGGGCACACTATATAAACGCCATCTATTAATAACCGACTAACTACAATGTAAATCAAACGTATCTGTTTCCCCTTTTTATTTACTCCCTTCTCCTCTCGCTATACTTTTACATTGTAGTTAGCCTGTTTTACAAAGATGTCGTTTCTGTGTAAGATGTGTGACGTCACAATGTATTTATATAGATAGCGCTCGACTCTCGAATTTTCGATTACACAGCAGTTACAGAAATATAAAAAAAGTACTCTTACAGGTATGCCCCAAGATATTATGCCAACCAATACTTTATTTTCGGGATTTGAAGAATCAACCAATGGTCCACCTGAGTCACCATGACATATGCCAACATTTATTGGGCCAATTGTGCATAGTTGTTTTTCGTTTATGTTGTACACGTATTTAAACTTTTCAAGGCAAGTTTTTTGGCTAATTGTTGAAAGTTTGGTGAATTTCAATACGTCAGACAATAATGGTAATTCATCTGTGGATGGACTCTACATAAAGAAAATATTAACTATTATCGATAGATAACTCGAGATATTTTTTGAATTTCATACATCGAAACACTTACTGATGTATAAAAACACTTACTGATGTATACCCAAAACCAGATACGATAACGATATTTTTCTCGTCGATTGAATCGTTAATTGGAAGTGCAATTGGTTGAATAAGATTTGTGAAAACAATTTGTTCGGTTGTACGTAGTATTGAAATATCATTTAAACCAATTTTATCTCCATTATCGTATGCTGGATGATTGATGATATGTGAAAATCTAATATGTACACCATCATCGAAACGGTATATAGTTCCAATAATGCCATGTAGATACATTGGTCTAGAGTGTTCGGCTTGAGTGCAATGTGCAGCGGACAAAATGAAGCGATCGCTAATAATGGACCCGCCACACCAGTGATCACCATAAAGACTAAAATAGCTTCGCAGTGAAACTTGATATGGAAATTGCCCTTCATCTGCATCATCGCCACCAAGTATGCGGGGAGATCCGAAGATTTTTTTTGGTGTCAATTTTATACCGGCCACAATACATACCGAACAAAGTATTAAAATATTCAAATTTATCAGCGTCTTCATGTTACTGTTTCTCAGTGAATTGTCTATTTTCTTAGCGGTTTTACACTCGTTTCAATTATATTCCGAATAATTTTAGTAACCCGCTTTAGAATCTGTCTGAAAGTTAAACCACAAAATCACAAATGAAAATTGAAAGTAATTGTGGACGTTCCCTTATAAAGATATCGAAAACACACACAACAACAAGCATTCAGGTGAACAACGTTCCATTTTATTTCTTTATTGTTCGTTCTTCAACGAATATCTTATCAGTATTACAGTATCAGTTTGGTTACACATTTAATCGCAATATAAATTGCATTCAAAGAAAGAATATCCAAGGTACTTCTAAATTGCTGTATGTCAAAATTTGGCGAATTTCAGTGAAATAACTTACTACCCATGTAATTCATTTGCGGAGTAATTTTGACGATGGCGGGACTGTGTGGAGTTTGGCGGAGATGACATACAAACTCTGTGTGTACGAGGGTAACAGCACATCTATGTGTATCATTCTTACGCAGATGATTAGTAACTTAGCTGTGTGTACGTCTACTAAGATGTTCGTTTGGACAAAATAAATCTATGAACAGCAAAGAATGCTGTTGCACTCGTACACACAGCATTTGCATGCTATCTCCGCCGAACTCCGCACAGTCCCGCCATCGACAAAATTGCTCCGCAAATGAGTTATACGAGGGCGACTATTTAAGTTTCTTCAATATGTATGTTTTAGTATTGCCCGATGCAAACCATTGTCATATTCGTAAAGTTGGACATTTTTCATGACCATTTGACTTAACAGGACGAATTTTAGTTTTGTGGTATGGCCACGGTGTCAGTTGGAAAAGGTCAACTTCGCAAAAAAATGAAATTTACAAAAAAGATTATTTCTCATAAGTTTTCAAAAAGAGCTGCCTGCTCAACAGTATTACTTCCGACTCAAGTCGGGGTATGGGAAGGAAGTACCATGCCTTGCCACTGTATACAACTGGTTCACTGAATCCCATCGTCATGGTGCTCGCTACAGTGATCAATTGCGAGATGGTCCTTCGAAAATTGATGTCATCGAGAAAAACTCTGGTGCCGATTGAGTTAGGATCGAAGTTTCTTTTACAGTTAAATTGTGGTATGCCCAAGGATCACAGAGACTCCAATCATTTGGTTCTTCCATGAATTACAACATGAAAAAAATAAATCTTTACGTGTCAACCCACAGTTGCTCAAAAATCGATTGATTTTAATCACATCCAAAAAATCATAACCAATTTGACATAGGATAATAAAAACACGTCTATACGATCGCAATAGAAGCCAAGACATGATTCCAGTAGTTTGGACCTGAAACAAAAACTTGGTTGACTCTCTGAGTCTTCAAACATGAACACAATCGAACAAAAGTTGTTCGTTTGTGAAGTGATAGGGAAAATCGGACCTCATTATTTTACAGTGTTATGTGTCATGTTGCTATCATGCCTTTAGAGGATGAAAGGTCCTTCAATGCTGAATAGTACACAACCATTTGATTGTCAAAAGTCATCACGGGAATATGGAGACCAAAACTCTGAAACTTATGATCCCAAAACATGGCAAAAAGAAGCCCATCAAACAGTCGACTATTTGACCACCCAAAAGATCGAATTGATGCACAATACTCCGTGTACGAATTATTCGGGACCCCTCTGTCCACCAGAGACCAAAATCAGTTGGATACAATATATTTTTCGTACTTGAAATTAGGTGCATATTCAAAAAAGTGCACTTTTTGGAGTGTCATGTTTAAGCTGCTGTCGTAGCCATACCACAAAACTAAAATTCGTCCTGTTAAGTCAAATGGTCATGAAAAATGTCCAACTTCACGAATATGACAATGGTTTGCATCGGGCAATACTAAAACATACATATTGAAGAAACTTAAATAGTCGCCTACGTATGGGTAGTAATAATATGTTTTTTTAAAAACGCAACTATTATTTTTGTACTTTTAAAAGTATACCATCTTTTTGGCTTGTACAAAAAAATTCAGTCGAAAAAATACGTATCAAAACCATATTTTAAAAAATATAAATGAGTTTTTTCCTCAGGTCTAGTAGTAGAGGTTAAAGATTGTACACTATTCGGGCTCACTGTAATGGATGACGACTTTATCCGTATCTGCCACGGATTCGTATCCATTATAGTTTCTTTTGATTGTTTTTTTTTTTTTGTAATAAATGGAAGAAACTTAATATTTCAGTCTCCAGTGGTGTATGTATGTAGAGAAAATGGATCTTTTCCTAGAGTTTTTTCCTAGGTTTTTGTGCAGGAGAAAATCGAACCTGATATTCATTTTGTATGTAATTGAATTAGGTTTCGAAACACTTCCCATAGGAATAAAAATGGTAATAAGTTTCAATGTCTGAAAAAAAATATTGCAAGTTTGTTCGTCCACCTTAAACCTTTATTTCTATCTGTTTTAATTAAGTAAAATGATGGATAATTTAGGCAAAATGAAGCGACCGAACTTTGTTTAACATATTCGGAATCAATTATAATGTCCTAGTTTCTTACGATGATTGTTTTGTTTTACAACTTCTTACATTTTAAGTTTTCATTCTTGGCCATTCCACCCAATTTTTGATCACTACCCTCAGAAACTATTATCTCTTCCATATTTAGTAGAAATAAAATAGTTTTAAAGGATGGGTGGTCAAATTCTTTCTCGAAATTTGGCTTTTTTAACCCTCCTAGGTATAGTTCGAAATAAAAACAATATAGGATAGTTACGGTCTATTAGACCGTCCATACAAAATACAGGAAAACCATACAAAAAACAAAACAAAGTCACACTTTTTTTTCAAATTTTTGTATTTTTCTTTTTTGAAAACACTGAAAGAAGGTTAAAAGTTAAAAATAGGAAAGATTTTAAGAAAATTATCAATTTGAATCATCGTAATCATTTACATGAAAGCGTTTTTTTTTTTGTTGAAAAAAAAATATTTCGTTAAAAAAAATACTTTCTCATGTAAACAAGTATTGAAATACTGAATGGAAATTGGAAAAACTTCCGATCGATTTTTCTCGCGTTTCCGATGGGAAAATCGAAAAAAAAATTGCCAGCATTGTTATCCCCGGTGTGCTCGACTTCTAGAACACTTTGAACCAGGTTTGGGTCCACCTAATCTGACCTAATCCACAGAATTCTCTTCTAGCTACAACATCTATTACTGTAGAAATCACCTATCGATTTTTCTTATTCTCTTCAAAATATCACTTAAAATTAAGTGAAGAGGATGCAGGGATGAGAATTATGAACAGTAATCTGAATAAGTAGGTACAAAACACTTCTTTCGAAGTTCTTTGCGTGACGCAATACTGTAAATCTGAAAATGTTATATATAAATTTGATATAAATTTTTAGTGACGCATACGCTCAAATATGTACCAAATGTTATTATTGCGACATATTGCAAAAAATAAAAAATGAAAATAATTGCTTTAGAGTAAAAAAACATCAGATTTTTCGTTCGAAGTGAAACATGAGTTATTCAAAAATAAAGAAGCTCTGTTCTAACATTTGAACATGTCAATCATTTTGTGTTTGCATTTTAGAGGCGACGCAATAATAAGATTTTGTACATATTTGAGCGAACGCGTCACTGAAATTTATATCAGAACATTTTCAGATTTACAGTATTGCGTCACACTGGGAACTTCGAAAGAAGTGTTTTATGCTTATATCAATAGTTTTTTTAGTATGTTGATGACAAAGTCATAACGTTAAGTGTGTCGAGACTTGATTTTATGACAAAATAAATGTCAGATTCTGTTTTCTTGTACCAAAAAAACCCCAAATACCAATTTTCATTGCAATCGAATTAAAGCCAATTTTTTCCGAAACATCATTCCAAAAAAAAAGGTTTCAAGCCGAAAAATCTAAAAACATTGAATTAATTTCTCAAAACCATTTAATTTCTCGGATCCGAATTGTGTAATATCAGTTGTCAAAGTGAACAAATAAACAAAGTAAAAACCTAGTACATTGCAGTTGATTGCTAAGATATTAAAATATTAAAATATAGGTGGTCGCTTGAGTTCACACTTTTACCAATTTTCACCAAATAAAAGAATGTTGTTGTTTCAAAATGTGCATATCGGCTCAAAATTGAGTGTCCTTTCGATCTATGAGGAAAAAAGCCAAGCCAGTCATACATTTTTTCGAGATAAATGTCGATTAACTTCGATTTTTATCGATTTTTCCCCATTTTTCGAGGTCTTGTCATTCTCATCTAACCTTTTCCGCTGAATTTTTTATTCAAAATTTCTTTATTGCTTCATCAAGATGACCTTAATGTCTTTCCAATAAGCTAAGAATGGCGTGATTCTTTTAAAAAAACACCGTATACCTGTGATCAAAAATGGCCTAAAAATTGAAATTTGCCGAAAAAACATTTGAACTTCGGAATGAAATTTTTTCTTAAAACGAATTTTCCCAGAGATGACACATACGCCAGATCATCCTCAGTAGGCACAAATGACGGTTTTTTTTTTTTTCAAAAAGTAGTGTATATTTCGGTGTATAAGCAAAATTTTCGGTATATCACGATTTTATTTCGAATTTTTGGTGTATCAATCTAGTGTATGAGATACACATCCATAGGACTTCGATATAAATGTGAAATAAATTAATTTCATCCATAGGACTTCAATATAAATGTGAATAAGATTGATTTTAACCATAGGACTTCGGCTCTCTGTCAATGGTCCCCCAAATTATCCATAGTCAACATCCATTCATCCATGGATAGATTTTGTTTTTAAAAGGACTGGATAAGTAATATCCATGGATGTTTTTTTAATGGATAAGTTACATCCACCATCCATCATAAATTTATTCATGAAGAAAAGAAAGAGAGAGCGAGATTCACTTGGATAGAGGAGAGTTATAGTGCATCCATGGATAGAATAGATGTTAGTTTATCCATGGATGAGTTATATTTTAAGGATAAATAAATAAGTTGGATTTCAAAAATACGAATGAATGGATAAACTCTACATCTCATTTGACATTTCATGTGAAGTATTCGATTAGTATATAGAAATACTGGATGATGGATGAAACATCTGATTCATTTTGGATTTGACAAGACAGATCAACGAGTTTCAATTTTCAGTTAAAAACATGTATTCTATTTTTTGTCAGTTTTTTATTATATTTTTATTTCAGTTCGAATTGTTGAATTCTGAAGTTTAATTCATTAAGTTAATTGGATGTTGGGTGGTTTATTCATTAATCCAGCGTCCAACCACATCAAGGATTAAAAGCTATGCAAATGAGTGGAGACACTGAGAAGCCAGTGAGAGTGCTCTCTGAGAACTCAAAACAATCGAGAGTTTGGAAAAATATTGAAAATTGTCGATTTGGCAGAGGGGCATGTGATTTGAAATCATTAGTTCGAAAGGAGGTATTTATATGAAGATTAAGCCAATTCTAGGTACTAAAAGTCAAGATTGAAAGTTGTGCAAACGAGTGGAGACACTGAGAAGCCAGTGAGAGTGCTCTCTAAGAACTCAAAACAATCGAGAGTTTGGAAAAATATTGAAAATTGTCGATTTGGCAGAGGGGCATGTGATTTGAAATCATTAGTTCGAAAGGAGGTATTTATATGAAGGTTAAGCCCATTCTACGTACTAAAAGT